CCCTAAAGTGAGGTCCGAGACAAGGAGGAAGGAAAACAGTGTGGAGAAATCTAGCTGGTGGAGAGAATCTGAAGTTGTCTGTTGGATTTCACCTTGGCCAATTAAGACATCTGGATCTCTCAGGGAGCCAAGCACACAACTCAGCCTTTTGTATAGCAGCATTCTGATCTAGCACTATAACACAGGGATTCGTCTGGTCTGCACATTGCGTGATTGCATGTTACCTGCTTTACCTTTAGATGGTGGGCGGTGGTATAGAGGCGGCCACAGCCTTTGTACCCACAACGGAAAGCTCTACTGCCGACCTGCTGCCCCTTCTCATTGCTGTGCACTTCCTCCTCCTGCAAATCCTGCCGAGACACGCATGGAAATTAGTTTAGTGAGCCACTACAGCAGGCTTGGCAAAGCCCACACAGATCATTTCCTTCCTTGCCATACATATGCACTCCTTCAGTTATCCTCACAAAAACGTGTTCCTACAAACACAACTTGTGCACGTATGGTAAAACCCAGGTGACAGGGCAGGGGTCTAAGAACCAGCCCATTCCCACCTCCCGGCTCACTGGGTGTTCTCAGACACGTAACTCGCCTCTCTGTGCTTCACTTAGCTCATTTGTAAAACCTGCAGCTAATATATTTGCTAACCTTGCAGAAAAACCACAAAGCTTTTTTAATTACTAGCTGGCAAAGCGCTCTGCGTCAAGAGGAGTTCGGCCCAGATTCAGAAATGCATCACTGAAAAATTCAGACCTGTGAAGGGACGTCGCTGGAATCCTCACTCTTCATATGGCAGTTGTCTGTCACTCCCTCCTCTTCCTCGTCAGATACCTACAAGCAAAGAGGTATGGGTACTGTTCATACCTCCCTGTACAGTGTGGAACAGGTGAGCAACCCAAGCAGGAAGGCATTCACATCAGCAGTGCCACCCCACTCTTCTCCAGAGAGCTAGGGGAGGCTGGTCCTACCACAGCAGAAAGGTCTCCATCTGCAAATCTTAATGCTGCCCGGCTGAGCACCGTATCACACACTCCTGGTAGCCCCTTCTCACACAACACCGTGAAGATGGGAGAAAATGGCAGCACCCAAGACATTCAGATGGAGCACTGCAGTGACAACACGTTAGGATCTGAAGCCTGTTTTTTGAGGCCTTTGTCGACATGGGGAACAGTGGCCAGAACTTAGCCACTCCTGACATGTAAAAGGTTAGTCTTGGTCTGCTGCCTGAATCATCTGTGGAAGAGAATATCATACCCAGGTGGCATTATGAGAAACCTAGCAAACAGAAGGAAAACACCTTCAAGGAGGCACATATAAAGCAAGAAAAAAAAAAAAATCCAAGCTGTATCACAGCAGCTCTCTGCTCTTCCCCAATCTGTGCCTGCAGCAGGTTAAGGGTGGTAGGCCCAGCACTCTGTAGGAACTAGCTAGACGGTCCAGCAGGAAACTGCCCCGTTCTAGGTCCTTAACTGTCAGCCACCTGTCAGTGGTGGCCCTCTCACGGGAGCCCTGTTCAGTTTCTCTTCTCAAAGCTGGCACTGCTGAAAAACAAATATACAGAAGTACTAACGAAGGGAGGACACTTAAACCCCAGGCCAAACGTGGACTACTACACCAGCCCCTCAATGCTGCTGGCAGACCATGAAAGCAGCGTTGATTCCTCACCTTACTCGTGTACTGCTTTAATGCATCAATGGTCTCGACATCAAAGGCATCATCTTCCTCCTCTCCAGCCAACTCCTCTAGCCCAGTTTCTGCCTGCACTTCCAGGATGGTGCTGCCAGGTGGCACGATGACAGGACGATGTATGTAGGCAGTGGAGCCATCCTCCAGCTGGACGGCCTCGAAGGTGCTGGGGTCATAGCTTTCTGCAAGGGGAAACCGATAAAATCAAATGTAAAAGAGCTGCTGAGTGTGAGGCACTCTTCATCTCCCTGGGCTACCTACAGCCTTGGAAATCTGTGACACTTAGCAGCTTCTACTCCAGCTGCCAAGGGAAGAACAGGGAACACGCTTTACCTTTAGGTGTGTTGTGTATGTAGGCCATACTGCCATCTTCCAACACTACTGGTTGACCATCTTCAAAAGCCACAGACTCTAAAAGAAAAGAAAAAAATCCACACACCTTCTTGGAAGACTCAGTGAGTTTCAAGCAACCTTTTAAGAACAGAAAAGGGAGGTGGCGTACAATGAGCTTGGGAGGGCGAGGGGAGGACTGCCCAGAGCAACGGAGTTCATTCTGCCTGCCCTTTCACACCTTATGGTGGCTGGGGAGGACTCCTCTATGCCGCTCTGGTGCCTGCCACATGAAATGAATTCCCATCACCTCTCAGATTAATTAATGTCGCCTCATTTCAGAGGTGACATTGGCTGACAGGTCAATGACCAAGGTGGCATTGCTTCCAACAATCCCCACCCTCCCCCCTCCAAACACCTATTCCAGAAGTAATATATTATCTCATAGTTCAGAGGAAATTCCTGTCCAACTGCTCCCACATGAAACAAACTCTGTTTGGGCTCTGTAGTTGGCACAAACACAGCACACAGCTTGCTGGTCTTGCTTGCAGACTAGTGATCTGTCAGACTGACAACTGTGAGAGAGCCCACAGGTGAAACAACACTTAAACATTTGCTTACACCACCAGCAAATTTGCCTTCTTGTCAGATTGCTAAAAACTTTGCAGGAAATCACATGTTCTATGTCCTTGCTCATTCAGCCTCAAAACCACAGGCAAGAAAAAAAACCCTACGCCTATATGGACTTCTTAAAACTAGAGCTAATAGAGGAGCCCGATTGTTGGAACACAGACAACTGCAGTTACGTCTACAACGTCCTTCTAAAAAGAAAGAGGTGAACTTATGGTCCTCACCTTTCTGAACCGTCACCTGATGGATATAAGCTGTGGTCCCATCTTCAAGTTCAATGACTTGCCCTTCAATCAGTTTTTCACCTGAAACAGTTAAAAAATTGTCATCAGCACGGCCTGCAGAGTCCAGTCTTTCTGGTCCCACAAGCTCTCCCCTTTGCCACATCTTCTCAAGGAAACCAGTCCCACAGAAGACAGCAAAACTGTTACTTATAAGCTGTTATTTATCAAGCTTTCCCCTGAATAGCCATAGAGGCACTTAACTTCCCAGAAATGCTGGAGCCTCCCTTTCCTAGACAGGAGGATACAAGACAAAGAACCTCAGTCATCACTTGTTTACAAGCTGCCTTCACAGCCCTATAAGCCAAGAAGCAGAAAGAATGATGTGTGCTAAGCGTTTTGGATCTGAAGTAGAAAGCAATTACACTTGTGCTGGAGAAAAGTTCAACTAGGAGCTTTTAACGGCATCAGCAGGGGCCTGAAGATTTATTTTCTTCCACTTTGGTGGAGGATCAGCTCTTGGGAAAAAAAAATTACAGGACTTAAGGGGACCTAAAGTGTTGCTACCCTTGATGGATTGTAAAGACTGGACTCTTAAAATAGTGTAACTCTTGAGTAACCCTATAATAATGTTTTAGTTACCAAATTATTTGATGCAGAGAGGACGTTGCTCTATCCCACTTGAACATGAGGAATCCAGGTTGCTTTCACCTGGTGCACTACGTTTGTGGGGGTCACAAAACCTCGTGGTTTTCAAGATGGTCCAATTCCACACACGTAATAAACTTGCAGTGAGTTCACACAGAAAAGAAAGCAAGAGAGCAATCCCCAGGACATGAAGCCTCGCAACTCAACCGTCCTGTTCCGCAGGCTGGGAAACGGCGTGCTCCTTTTCTCAGGAACAGTGGGTGGTGAAAGGAGCAGCACCTCACAAACACCAAAATAAGGGCAGGTGTTGAATTTGGCACCGATATCGCTTCAGTTAACCAACGCTGAGCTCAGCACCCCTTTGAGTGAGCAAATCACTACTGTGAACCAAATTCTATGCATCTCAGTGAAGTAAAACATCCTGCTTAGCTTCAGGGGAGGTTTTGGTTGAAGAGTCCTGCAGGCCATAGAGCAAACTCCGTTTCCCCAGTAACCCCGGAGAGAACAGGGCTCACTCTAGTCTGAACAGAACCTTCATTTTCTACAGCAACAGCTCTCCCATCTCCAAAGCTTTATTTCCAAACCAGAGGCATGTTATGTTTCTGCTGCGTCACTCTTCTGTGCAAATCTAACAGATAGTTGCTATCTTCCTGTACAAAGCGACCATACAAGATGTATGACAGTTCGTGTGCCATGAGGGCGCTTTTGATAAGTCTGACTTTAATTCCACAGGGTCAATCAAGAGACTTTTAGACTTCCCAGCCCAAAGAAACCGTTACCTTTGACAGCCTGCTGAATGTAGGCTGTCGTCCCGTCACTAAGGGTCACTGCTTGCAAGCCCAAGCTCTCCATCCTGCCCCGATGACTGGTCCTCAGACATGAATTTCACTTTACTCAGCGTGCTCGCAGAGAGCACCGGGACCCTGAGCAAGAGGTTTGTGGAACAGCAAGTTGTCTTCTTCGTTGCAAGCCTTAAATAAAAAGAACAACTCAAATTTTCTTTTCTCCCAACATACGGTATACTCACTTTTGCACATTAAGAAAGGCTTGAATGGCAAACTGTTTTGGTGATTACAAAGGATTAAGCTGGACAAAAGATGCACCCTTCCCATACCAATGGCAGGCAGGGCTAACAACCTATTCGACAGACAAATATAAGATAAAGCTTATCGAGCCAGTGAACTGACAGACTCTTTTTAGAGGTAGTGTAAATGCCACATTCAAGCCCTTCCCATCCTCCAAACGATCTGCAGGAAAGGTTTCCGAGTACTTTAAAGTCTGAACCTACAGGCTGAGGGTGTCCTGTACTGCAAGAGACAGGGGCAGGATGATGAGCTTTGTCCCTGGAAGCATCCTCATTCTCTCCTCCCTTTCCTGTCTAATTCCTGGCCTTCTGAGGAACGGAATTTCAGGCTGTAAGCAGATTATGTTAAAACATCCACGCCCCCACGAGAACATTTTGCTAAAGAGGCACTCTGCCAATAGATTATGTTTAAAAGCAGCTGCAGTGGATCCTTCACGCGTAATCTCTGAAATAGCCTAATATTTTATCATTTTGATGTCCAGGAACAAGTCTGACCGCTCTGTCTGTCACTGCAGCACCCAGGGGTGCAGCCAGGCTTTGTGCCACGCTTCGTGCCCTCTAACCCAAGCGCTCCCTACGCCCGACAGACAGCTCCTCTCCAGCTGCAGCAGATTCTGCCTGCTTTTAGGGCTGACACCTCCCGAGAGGCATCGCAGCTCGTTGCCCAGCGAAGGCTCCATCCCAGCAGGGTCGCTGGGGCATCGCTGGGGAATCGAGGCCCCTTTGAGCTGCTATGGCTGCCATGCAAACCGACGGCAGCGCTGCTGGAGGGGACGCGACCCCCTGGAAGGGATGGGGCAGGTGCTCCCCGAGGAAAGCCAGGTGTAGGCTGCGGTGTGAAGCCACCCGGGGGGTGACAGGGGACGTGCCTCCCGGGTCAGGGCGGGCCGGGG